CCATGCCTTACGCCGCCCTTGGTCATAGAAATGATGTAATTTGAATATAAATTATTTATAAATACGTATGTCAAGTTATATTTTTATTACGACGTAAAATATATTTAAGAGTTTACGACCACTGTGCTGGGTGAGACGTTGTTGAAACAAAAAAAGTTATGCATTCCATCACGTACATAAACAGTATCGTAATTCGCCAAGTGCAAATCAGCAAATTCGTAAAATTTTTGTTTATTTTGAACAATCCGGATAATCGAAAATCCGGATAATGGAGGTCCGGATAATGGAGGTTCTACTGTATTGCAAATTTAAAAATTACTATAAAAACCAGAAAATGTCACGCAACAATGGTGTTGTTTCAGATTATCGCGATGAACAGCCAACTGGTTAGAAATGCCTTCATGAGTAAAGATATATTCATCTGTGAATAACACGTGCACTAAAATCAGGCTGTGCTGCTAGCTGTTGCAAAAACCAACATGCAGACTTGACACGTGGCGCATAATCTGCAGGTATCAAGGCTAGCACGTTCTGTGCATGGAAAGGGTGTAATCCTTTGTCCTGTAGTACTTGCCAAATAATCAAGCAGGACACATTTATGGCACGGGAAACCTCTCGCGTGCTAATATCCAGACGATCTTCCACTCTTTGCAGAATGTCCTCTACAACTTGTGGCCTCCACACACTCCTGCCATGCCCTGTATNATATCTACGGAGACTTGAGAGACTCTGTGTGGTGATTTCTTGTAACCGTGAATGAATCAAAAGACGAGATAAGATTAACGAGAACATTTATTAGCTTACATACATCCAACTTGGATTTTACACAAATTGCGAAATTATACCCCGACTTCGCGAATTCGACTTAAACGGTTATCTCTTGGTCCCACCTATCGCATAAGTTTGGGGTATTACTGTATTAGAAATGCCTTCATGAGTAAAGGTACATTCATCCATGAATAACACATGTGCACTAAAATCAGGCTGTGCTGCTAGCTGTTGCAAAAACCAACATGCAAACTTGACACGTGGCGCATAATCTGGAGGTATCAAGGCTAGCACGTTCTGTGCATGGAAGGGGTGTAATCCTTTGTCCCGTAGTACTTGCCAAACAATCAAGCAGGGCACATGTATGGCACGGGAAACCTCTCGCGTGCTAATATCCAGACGATCTTCCACTCTTTGCAGAATGTCCTCTACAACTTGTGGCCTCCATACACTCCTGCCATGCCCTGTATCATGCATGCCAGTGACAAAGGATCCTGTTTCGCACATGCACAGATGCAGTCGCTTGAACATTTTTCGGTCTGGCACGTGTCTTCTCGGGAAACGCTGCCTGTACAGTCTTTCGGCTTCCAGAACATTCCCATTCACAAGATCATACATAAAATGCACGTCTGCCTTTTCCTGATTACTGTATGTTGCCATGCCTTCTGAAATCCACAGTAGAAATGATGATGTGTAAGAAAACTTGCGCTTTATGCTTTCCATTACAGCTCCAACTAGCGGTTCACCACTTGCTCTCCACCTATGCATTGTATGGTGAAAATTGCTTGTTTAGATGTTTTCTATCACCCCTTAAATTTTTGCCCATGAGTTTCGAAACCCCCTGTATAATTCTTACTTAAATTTCTTCAGTTTAGAACTGCCCTCGATTTCATGGTCTGTTTTAGAGATGAACAAATGGTGGTTTGACTGTATATAAATTTTTGTAAATCAACTTTGTAAATAAAATTTTCTAACCTACTAATTTTTATAAATTTGGTTATACTGTATGTCAGTAATGTGAAATGATGATCTTTAAATATTATTTTGAAATTAGTCTGAGAAACATGTTATTATATATGAGGGGTATAGATGGAAAAGTCACATTATCCAATTTTTGGTGGTATTGAGTTATTCATATCACCATGTTCATCTTGTAAAGGCAGTTTAAGACTGTAATAGTGTTGTTGAAACACTCACATGTTTAGACTGAAAAAATTGTTGTAAATCTCATTTTGAAATATATATCACATTATCCAATAGCTATTTTTCAAAATTCACACACTCCATTTCAACCAATCAGATCCCTTGGTGCGCACAAAGCATCATGTGATTGTCTACTCCAGTTCTGTTGATGATGTGCCTGCTGTAATAATGCATTCAAATTCAAAAAGTAAGTTAACCCCTGATAATGTGACAGCTTACATTTGGACTGAAAATGAGTTTTCAAATGGCTCAAACAAGATTGTTTAATGCATTTTCTCAACATGTTAATGACATTAATAATGGAAGAGTCCTTGGAGACAGTTCACTTTGTGTGTGATGGATTTTGTGGCCAGAACAAAAATTTAATTGTTCTGTCCATGAAGGCATGGACAGAACAATTAACATGTTTCTGGTCATCAAAACAGCACCTAGAAACATAAAAAACATGGAGGTTTTTTTCCCTATCACAGGACACAGCTTTCTTCATCAGACAGGGTGTTTGGGATTACAGAAAAAGCAATAAGGAAGAAAGAAGTCATTTATCATCCTTTAAAGTACATAGACATTCAAAAGTAATGAAAGTGAGTGAAGACTGTCAGGTTCTCAAATGGAAAAGAGAAAAAGATGCCTTTATGAGGAAACCAGCTCAATTTCACTTTCAGCTTGCAGCATGTAGAAGAATAATTCTGAAAAGAACTCAAACAAAAAAGTACTTGTTAGAGGAGAATACACTTACAGATCTGATCAAGGAGTATACAAGTCCCTAACAAAGCAAGGAATGTTAATGTTCAATATGAATCCACCTGTTATCCCTAAATCAAACACAATAAAACAAGCAAAGAAGGATGATATAAATAATTTATTGAACAATCATTATGGTAAGCAGTTGAGAGAGAATGAAGATTTACTTTTTCACACAAATATCACTGATGGGACTTCTAATGAATATGAAGATGAGCCAACTTGTGAACCTATTGAAGAAGTAAGTTATGTTAATGTTTGAAATATTACATTAGGTTTTTCACTATCTGTAATTAATAAAGATTGTGTGCAGTTTGATTTTTGATGTTTATTATCCCTCCAATAAAATGCTAAGATTCATTTTTCTTGGTTCTTGTTGTTTTTGATTATGTTATCTGTTTTGGTTCATAACTAACATTCTCTGTATAAGTTTGTTGCAAAACTCACATTTAACCAGAATTCGCTGCAAAACTCTCACTATCCATATTTTAAAGTTAAATCTTAGTTTTCCGTCTTTTACAAAGAGTTTAAGGCTGTGTGCAAATGGTTTCTATGCCAATAGTAAAAAAAATTGTTATAATATCTTGTGTGTCAGCAATAAAGTTTTTTTTGCATTTTTCCGAAAGTCTAAAAAAGGGGAGTGTGTGACTTTTGCATCTACATCCTTCATATTATTTGATATTTGATAAAAATTTGATAAAGTTTTATTAAATTTTTATCAAATATCAAATCAGTTTTATAAAAATAATAATAATTATTGATTTTACTGTGAAATTTTAAATATTTACACTAATTACAAATTAAGGCACGTTATCATTTAATAGTGACTTAGTTATTTTGATAACATGCTTTAATTTGTAATTAGTGTAAATATTTAGAATTTTATTGAAACATCTGTAATCATTATTATTTTTTAAAATTTGTATTGCTAGTTTTATTATTAATCAAATATATGCTGAACATTTATATTTTGTAGGAAACAGTCTCTTCTGATTACTGTGGTAAGATTTATCTGACAAGAATCAATGCTGACTTTAAATGTGATACATTTTTTCCAGAAATAGATAAAAATGTTTATAAGCTTGTAAGGTGAGAATATTTTTTAATTTAATTTATAATATAAAGGTTTATTTTGAAAATAAAATTTATTATATAACAATTTATATATATTAATGTATTATAGTGTAAATTGACAACAAAACTTCCAAAGTGTTTAAAACAATATTCCATATGACAAATAATCATAAAAATTCCTGAAATACAAAAAAATGATTGACAGTGTTTATAAAAGATTGGAGAAGATAAGTACTAAGAGATATTGTTTAGATGAAAAAGTATTTACACTGAGTAAAGAAATAAAAATAAGATTTTGATTATGATCATTTATTTATCTGAATATAAGCATTTATGTATGTTAGGGATTAGGGATATTCTTGTATACTATTTGAATATGCTTTCATTAAATAATGGAGACTGTTCAAAGAAATATTGATATTTTATATATTATAAGAATAAATAATGTATATTTGACTGTACTTTTGTTATGTAGAGGTGTTCTGCAAAGGCTGTTAAAGGTCCTATATTACATTATATATACGATTTAATAACGTGAATGAAAAATTACATTTTTGTTATATGCGCTGACAATACATTCTAATAATTATCTACTGTAGTTCATTATTGGTATCTGACTTATGTCAAGAAATAAATTTAATAATTTAAATAATAACTTACTTTTTTATTTAAATTATAAATTATTTATTAATATTCAAAAGACAGGGCATTATATATACTAAACAATATTCTTTATTGATAACAAGGTATTAAAATTTAATAAATTCATATACTATAATATTTAGGATTATATATTTATAATAGAGTAAATTGAAATACATGTTAATTATTTCACTACTAAATTAGCTTAGTTTATAGGCATGATTAATAGTATTAAACACTATTTAACTTAAGAAACAATAAAAATATATGCAGGAAATCCTTGTTAGTTCAATATTCAAGGGACAAAATAATTGCAACTTTGAATTTTTGAGTTTCAAATTATCTTTAATTAAGTATCAAATTATATTTCTGCAAAATATGTCAAATGCCATGTAACCGATGTAATTTATTAAGCAAATGGAATAGAGCTACATATACAGAACAGTATTATCATTAATTAATAATAATAAATAAACTGCAGGTAAACAGCATATGTCTGGTAAGAACCTCACAGGTTTCCAGATATGTTTTTATAAAACATAAAGCAGAATTCCTTGAAATGTAGTCCAAATTATTTTTAAAGTGGTCCAAAAAGTAGCCTTGAGCTTTACTAATATCTCTTATCTGCTACTTGTAGTCCAATCTTGCCATCTGCAATCCAGCCATATTTTGTGAGATAAGGGAAAAAAAGTGTAGTCCATGCATAAAGTTGTAAAGTACTATTTTATTTTTCCGACTTTTCCAATGATTATCGACACGACTGTGTTCCGGAAATAGCCGTTCCCTAACGGGTACTTTACGCGGATTTGCGTTAGTGTGCCAGGCCTGGACTTTTAGCGTGCACCGAAATTAAATAATGACCANTATACAAATTAAAATGAAATATGCTATCAAACAATGAGGGTAATGAGGGTCAGCCCACAACACATCTATTGTATAATTTATACGTATGTACATACATATCCTCACGCTTATAATCCAAAAAGGTTGAGTAGCAGGCAAAAGGAGACTCAGTCCTACAAATCATCCATTCAGCAACTTTCTTTGCACTTTCCTGTCCAGACACACTCATGCCTCTTCTAGCACACTTTCTCACATTTTCTCAACACCTTGTGTTTTTAAAGATACTCATCCACTTGTTCCAACCAAGACTTTTTCAGCCTTCCCCTACTGAATTTTCCTTCCACCTTTCCCATGTATACTCTCTTCAACAGTTCTCCTTTCATTCTCTCAGTCTGGCCAAACCATTATAGAGCTGATTTACTCACCTTTTGACCTACACTCTCTTACCCCATGTTCCTCCAACATTTTTATTCATTTCTCACATAGTCTGTCCGTGTTATGACAACATGCCTCTCAAATACCTCATCTCACATGCAGTGATGTGATTTCTGTGACTTTTCTGTCATACTCAACTTTTACTTCCTCATATGAGCTCAGGCATCATAACATTCCCTAAACAGCCATGTCGGGGTTGGATCGTGTAGAGACACGATTCCAGTTTTGTTTTGAACTATTAATAGTAATGGTCATCGACAGATGGTTGAAAGTGGCCATTAGCTTTTGAATGCATGGCTGCTGATTAGTCAGCAGATAATCATGCCACACAGCAGGATCTGCATAATGCTATGGCTTGGTAATAGCTGATTTGCATAGCGTTATAATTGATGATTGCTGATTGGTCGGCCGAGAATCATGCCAACCGATATTTGCATAGTGCTGCAGCTCGATAAGGACTGATTGGTCGACCAATCTGCTTTCAACGGCTGTGAAAGGATTGATGTTGAAGTGGGAGTTTTAAGTTTTGTCTAGGAAACTAAGTGAAGTTAAGTTAGGTCAGTTTCATCTAAGTTTTTGAGTGTTAAGTTCGTAAGTTCATTTCAGCATGACAGGATATACATCAGATTCGTCAAAGTTCGGGTTGGAACTTCAAGTGTGCATCAGTGGTTGAGGCAAGTCTGGATTCGTCTTGCTGTTTGTTTGTCAACTGCCAAAAGGGGATTACTTCTAGTCACTACTCGTCGATACGTTGCGAGGTGTTTTCTCGATGAACCAAGATCAGCATTATTGAACTATTTGAACTTTATTTTTATTTTGTGTAATTGGCATACTGAGTTGGGTGCCAATTGTGTGAAATAGAGCATTGTAAACTTTACTAGCCATTTATGCCTCATTGAGTGTCTTTTTATCCCTTGCAAATTTACTCATTGCATACACCACCTGTGTTCATGCATTCATTCTTCTGGTGATTTCACTATCTGTTCTAACATTCCTGTCTATCATATTTTCCAAATATATAAACTCATTCACTTTTTCCAGTTGTTCACCACCCAACTCAAGCATACAATCCTTTTGCTCATGTTTGTGTTCAAACACAATTATTTTAGTTTTAACATATTCATTCACACCATGTATTTCTCACACGCTTCTTCAAGATTAGACACAGTGTCTGAAGCTTGTCTTTGCTCTCTGCTAATAGCAGTGTCATCTTCATACAATGAAAAACAGACTTGTTCATTTCCAATTCTCATTCCACACTCGGGTACTCTGGATCTCTCATGCATGCATCCATGAAATTATTAAATAACCATGCAGACATAACACACTTGTTTTACATCCTCTTTAATTGTGAACCACTCCAACACTTTGCCATGTATGCTTTACTGTTTTCATAAATTGCTCTCTCATTTCTAAGTAGTTTGCCTTTCACTCCATAATCATATAATAATTGTTATAGTTTCTCCCTATTCACTCTATCTTATGCTTTGTATAATTTGTAAATGTTAAAAAATAGTTTTATGCAGTTTTACTTGGAATGCATTGTGATAGTAGTATCTATATATATTATAAATTACATAACATAAATATATTGCAATTGCTGTACATAAAATCACTATTAATATTCTTTAAGTTCATCCATAGTTTAGAATTAGATCTCTTATATAATATTTTTAATAGACATACAGCAACTATAAATATATTTCAATTCACCAGAAACAATTGAAAAAAATATATATTAAATTGAACTCACTGTTAGACATTTATAGATCAATTGTAATTTAGAATCAATTAATTATCATCAATACATATTGCAAATTAGATAATATGTTGGGCTTTAAAAAATGTTTCAATAATGTTCATGATGTATGATATATTACTAACTGTAAAATAGTATGTGTTGTACTCATCTATTTGGCAAACTATGAAAATTGTAATAATTGTTTTTCTTCTAGTTTGTTCGTTTTCTTTTTGTTGTGCTTCAGGAGGAGCTGAAACAAGCAGTACTATGCTTGTGTCTTTATGTGATTTGTATACATGGTATTTCAAAATTCCTGTTATTAACTCAGGACAAATTCCCTAAGAAAAACTAATGTAAAGATGTTCAGTAACATTTTTTGAATAATGTCTTTATTAAAGACATATAAAGTTCAGTGATGTCACTTCTGGGCTTTTTTTATAAAGACAAAGTCATGTTTTATTTTTCTATTTAAATTGAAAGATTTTTAAGAAAAGAATAAACAGATTCATCTTAAAATTTTGTGCTTTATTTTTATGTATTTGAAGCAATGTTCTTTTTAAAAAATCTGTAATACTTCTTAAGCATTTTTTTTGCTTTGCATCCTGATTTACTATGATAGCTACTCGATATGGTGACCTCTAATGTCTATGCAAACATTGTACCTACAAAACATGGTCTGGTACATTTGCTCAAAAGCACCTGGAATATATTGAATTTCTTTTGTCATGATTTATGCAAGCAGATTGATCTTCCTTCTACTTTTTATGATATAAGCTCTCTGCATCTGTAAATTTCATTTTTCTTTTATATCTGCTGTTTGGCAGTAATAATTTACTTAAAAAGTGTTTATTTTAATAAAATAAAACTAAAAGATTACAATAAAGAAATATACACAAACTTTAAAATCTTTTCACATGTATCAAATTACAGAAGTGACATCACTAAGCTTTAAATGTCTATAACTTCTTAATAAAGGCTTTATTCAAAAAATGTTACTGAACATTTTTATTTTAGTTTTTCTTAAGGAATCTGTCCTATAAGTGTGTAAAAGAAATCCTGTATTTTTTATTGTATGTAAATATTTGAATTTATGGAAAATATTTATGAGGTATACTGCCAAACTGGAACACTTTCAAACAATGATATTTTTAAAATTTAGCTTTTTTTTATGATAACCATGTATAAATTGATAAAATTCATATATTCAGATCTCTTTTCATTCAATTTGTGAACTTCCTTTTATCTTTGAGAAATGGTAAAAATAAAATATTGTCATCAGAAAAAGTCCTGTTCTATGTAGGATTTGCTTTGAACAGCACCATTTTGAACATTGCTGGAAAAATGACTACAGTGT